TGATTAAAATAATCGACAGCCCGCGCTCCTCGACCCTGAGTTCGTTCGTCCTAACGACGGGGCTCGATCTGACTTTTCCGTGAAAAATTTTCCATGGGAAATAACGAAGATCAGCGCGACGGTTAACGGAGCGAAAATTGGCACGAGCGACGTTTGAGATTCTCTTAGGAAGATTGCCTTTCGCGATTGTCGCTTCCACTCCTCCGCGGAGGTTGCGATATTATCGTCCCGATAAAGAAAAGGAAAAAACAGAGGACGTCAGAGGCGCAATGAAAAAATATAAGCGGTTCCAGGGCCGCCGAGTGATAAGAGAAGAAAAAAAAGAGAGAAGGCGCGAATGCGAACGAATTTAAATCGACCTCTCCGGAGAGGGCGAGGATAGGATGCTAAACCCCATGGATAGTCGCTAACGACGAGGGGGTTTTTGGACTTTGGGGACAGGTGGAACGGGATATAGGAGAGGAGAGAAGAGAGTCAGCATTCCTCCGTATGAAACGAGCCGGACTTAGTGCAGTATCCAGAGTTAGAAAAGCAAAAGCAATTAAGATAGTTACTTGGTTATGAGACAAAAAGACGAAGCGGAACGAAGGGGTAGGAAGGTAATTACCGTGGTAACGGCTTGCCTCGACCGTGTGACCGTATCTCGCGGAGCGTGGTAGCTTCTGGGGAAATTAGTGCTGGAAAAATTCATGCCCGCGGAAGATTTGCGTAAATTAATTTACGACGTACCGAGCCGGAGAAAAAGAGGATGAAATTCAATTTTTAGACCGACCTTAGCTCGGTCGCCCATCGAGGACATTTCGCCGATTGTTGCTTCTGCTGACGAAAAGAAATTATATATAATGGAGATTTATACACACACACACACACAAATATTATTTCGCAGCTATTTATTAAATGGAGCATATAAAGCGTGCACTTCTTGTCAGTATTTTATTTTTCTTCTGATATAAAGAGCTTTATTTTTTTCAACTTTTTTCTACCATGTACTTTCATTATATATATATATAATACTTGCTCGTATTTACACAGTTAGCGCTTTCTTTCTAAACACCCTGCTGGAAACTGCTAAACAGAAATTGGAGATAATGATAGCACGTTCCGCAATGTCAGCGCAAAAGAGATAGTTGCTCCTAATCTTCCTCCTTTTCGCGGACGTGGAGATGCGCATTAAGTTCTCTCGTAATATTCCTATAACATTAAAGCAAATTTCAAGGCCCATGCGGGATTCAAGATGCCGTTTGCCTCCGCTAATCCCTCCTGGGAAGTATAACGAATATCACTTTGTAAGGAATAATTAACGAGAGAGAGAGCGCGCTCGAGAATCGGATAAAATAATTGGCCGGCAGTTTGCAGTTGGCGAACATAAATATTCTCGCGTTTTCCTCGAGTCTGTCACAATCGAGACATTACGCGGGATTTGTGCCGTAATTAACATTAATTACTTCTGTGATTTAACGTCTAATGGAAAACGCCCGTGCGACTCAATGCGCCGTGAAATTCGAAAAATTATCGAGCCACGCCTCTCCTTCTCTCTACCTGCTGCGCAAACGGATGGAGGTGGAGTGAGAAATTTATGGTTTTTCGTAAGCATGCCGGCGGAATCGGTATGGAAACTTTTTACGGCGTACTTTTGACGAAGTTCGAAAAGTAACGAGGCGCGTTTGCATCGTTTCTTCGGCCACTGCTTCTACAGTTGTTCGGAAACTCCGTTCGTGCAATCCGAAAATACGTTTCTTAGATACCAAGAGAAAATGCGTGCGAGATCACATTCCTGCGGTTTGCGCGCGCGAATCGATCGCGATCGAGAATGCACGGAAAAACTTTTTAGATTATGTCAATTTGCGCGCGAAATAGACCATTTAACATAATTGAACAACACGCGAGAAGAATAGCTCCGAGTTTAGAAAGACGTGCATACATATCTATAATTGTTTGCCGATTCGCGGAAATTTTCTCTCTTTCTGCGTTCATTAAATTATATCGATTACATTTGAAGTCCGTGCGGAGTCCCGCTATACGGAATATTTTAGCGACTGCTATTATTTTACTGCGCGCAGCTGTCGCGATTAACGTCTAAATACAGCTTTGCGTGCCTCCGCGGCTGCGACAGAAATTAGTCATTAGCTCGCGCTAGTTTAATATGAGTTCGCGTTAAAATTATAGCCGAACCGAAGAGTCTCGCATAAAAAATGGATGGATTGTTCTCTGGAGATCGCGCGCTCGCGACAAGAAAAAAAAAGGGAGAAACCCGATTTTTTTCCTTTCGCACTTATTTGCGCAAGAAACAATCGCGCACGCCAAAACGTGCGCGATTACAGTTTTATTTCCTTGCGAGATTCGCTATGGATTTTATGAGCGTACTGTGGCTGCGAGTGGTCTCGTTGCGCGTTCAAACGACAGCGATTCTCGTTGACCGAGAATCTTTATAGCGCGAATCGTGCAATGGCATCTATATATGAGTTTCTTTCGTCCATTTTTTATTTTTCTCACTTGTGTATCGTTGTACGCCTTATCAAAGACAATTAATGGCGTTCCAGATTATTATTTCTTCGTCTTATACTCACTCGTTATAGCGCGTAGCTTTCACATATATCTCGGCATTTTCGTTAATCTACATCTTTCCCGTACGTACCTTTTTTTTTATTCATGAAAGTGCATTGTGGCGTATTAATCGGCACAGAGTTCGGAACATATTCCTTACGGTTCCGCGGATTGGGGCGGGAATGTAGCGATGTTAAGCAAGAGAGAGTGCACAGAGAGTCCGAGTTTCTAGTGGTAGTATCCGGAGAGCTTTGAGGAGAACGTGTGCTTTAAAATTCCGTTGAGATATCTTTCGACACGAAATGTTTCCCAGTCGACTCATTTCGCCGTGAGTGACTTTGATGTTACTTTTGAAGAAATTTAGTTTTAAACCAAACCGATATATATATATATATATATATATATATAGTATATCATATACCGGATGTATCTTAAAATTCTTGATATACAGTCTGCATGAATAAAGGGAAAATAAGCTATATAATTTATTCCATGTGCACGTATATTACATGCAACGCGTGAGATGTCGCAGGTGACGAGATTTTCGCGATCGATAAATTAAATATTTAAAAATATACTGCTTTCTCAATTTTATTTTGCATTTCTTAATTAGTAAATGGCCGCGTTATTTAATTCAAGTGCCCCATTTCACGACAGAGTGAGTTATGATAGCTATTAATTGATTAACGAACTAAAATGGAAGTCTCGAGCGCATTTTATAAGATCGCTTTTTATTGATTATGAATGCTGGAAAATATTTCATTTATTCCGACGAATATGTGTGCGCGCGCGCAAATGTGTATGTATATTATACTCACGAAGAATGAACCGTATCTCATTTTCTCTCCGTCTTTGGTATTAATATAAAACAGCCATATCAATCGGGTAATCAATCAAATAACTTTTAAATCTGTATTATTCATGCAGACAAGGTAGTCTCAATGCTTTCTTTTGTACTTTGGCAGATAAAACAAATAATGGCTTAGATAAACCTTTTGTTCTGTAAAGAAAGATAATGAATTCTCTTTCCAAAAAAAAAAAAAAATTAGAATGTGCGCATAAATTTTAGAATAGAGGGAAAAGAAGAAGAGAATAAATGGAGAATATAATTCACTCTCTCTCTAGAATGAAAGAAAATTTGTCGCGCAAGGAAAAATTTAAGATCGAGGAAACATTATTTCACGTGACAAATTCGTCATTCGTATTTGCGAGGATGGACGGAATAAGGTGTTTACAAAGAAATATACATATATATATATATGCACGAATATCGAGGATGCTTATCCAACGATGTAACTCAAAGAGATGAGGGATGAACGTGATTTCTGCCGATCGCGAAAGAGAAAAAGTCTGGATGCGCTAAAGGAGAGCACGCTTTTGGCAGGCTCGAACTTGCACGTATGAATACGCACGCGTGATTCGAATACCAAGTTTTGCGAAATTCGCGTAGCGCAAGCTTTCCGAGGGCTTTCCACACAGCGAGAGAGAGATAGAGAGCGATTGCGGTGGGAATCTCTTGAATTACCTCGCGATGACCTGCCGCATCGCGATGTCCGACGTGGTTTTATCACACACGATCGACACGATATATAGCACAGCACGTGCCCCGCCAGTGCTTATACGAAATCACGCGCGAAATCCTTTCGCCTGATGTTGTCCGTTCATGCATGGATTTTCATAAAACTCTTCGTCCTACGATGTCCTTTTTATTACCACCGAAGCGAAATAATAGTGCATGCGCGGGTGAATTCGGGGGTAGTGTATCGAAAAGGTGGAGAAAAAAAAATTGAACTCGTTAGAAAGAAAATTGGATGCCCGGCTATTCAGGCTTCTCCGCGATGCAATATGACGTAACGCGCGCTTACTCTCCCGGGTATATTTTGCGTTGCAAATTACGATCCGGCTGTGTAAAATTTTAAAAGCCGATCGGAAGCTACGGTGTTGGCTGTAGTCGCGGGTACATTAATCTCTCCCTTAAAGTATTCAAGCAAAATACAGTTCACCGCGAACTCCTCCGGGACATAGCTCTCACGTTGATATACATTGATAACTGTTTGCGATTGAAAGATATTAAATGCTTGCTGATGAATGACGGTGGAAAATGGAGTGCGACGGATTAAGAAAAAAAAAAAAAAAGAAAAAGAAACCAACTCGATATAACGCCTTGCCCCTTACAACGCTTGAAGAATTTTTTTACACCCCGGTCTTACGAGAAGGCGAGAGGAATATAACGCGCTGTAAAGTCGACAAACGTCCAGTTCCATTCTCGGATTTTATTCGCTCTACGTTGAAATTGTCCTGACGCGGGTAAATTCCGGATCGATAAACCCGCGAATACGTCGTCCGCTTTTCCTCGATCGCGCATTTCCTCAGCAGCTCTCTCACGTTTGTTTTTATCACATCGATAACGCTCCCCATGCGATGAACGTAACGAACGGATCTCTATATGTTCGCAGATGCCATGAATTCGTTGGTGGAGGAAGTGGTCGTCGAAGCTGGGAAGAACGTCACGCTGGGATGTCCGGGTGTGACGGAGGATTCCCTGGTGTTGATGCTCGAGTGGCGGGCGAACGGGATGCGGCTGCTCGAATTTAAGAGCAAAAGTACAACCATCGTACGGCGAACGGAACAGAACCGAGTGTCTCTGTCGTTGGAAAATTATTCGTTACAGCTGCATCCCGTTACCGCCTCTGACACCGGTACGTACGAATGTCACGTGAACAACCGGAGCCCGCTGGAAGGTGTGATCAAGCTCGTCGTACGAGGTAGGTGGCCGAATCTTCTTAATCCCCTTTTCTCTTTTCTGCTCCTTTTGCTGGAGATAAATCCAATTGGATGAATCTAATAGAATCGATAATAGATAATAGGTGTGCGCTAATGTCTCACTAATTGAATAACAAAGGTTCCTCGAATTCGATTTAAATTAGAAAGCATTAAGGGAGATATATATATATTAAGGAGGATATGTAAAGTTTCATACGTAAATTGGGGACGTATATATAGTTACTCGATGTTTTTGTTCCCTATTAGTTTAAATATTTGATTGGCTGTAAAAAAATGGATGAAACATTTTTTGATATTTAATGAAAGTTTTGAATTAAACAGTGAGTGTGAGCATTTGTGTTTCGTTCGAGATCGATTTTGACGTGATTTATTGATGAAATTTTCACTCTTGACAACCTGTGAGATTTCAGCGTGGCTGTTAGGTTTCCGGCCCAATGAGCGTCGCTAGTGAATTAAAAACTCGTTCTGTGTCGTACTGGGCGTTTGGTGTTGTGCCAATAAACTTCATCGGGTGGCTACATTGCGCTTTTAGTTTTCGTTCCTCTCAGACAGATATCTTTATTAAACTCTAAATTTTAGTTATTAGAGTTAGGAACTTTGAAGATATTATTAATTACTGTACATTAACGCGCCTGCCGTAAAGTTATCGAGTAGCGTGTCTGTCAATTATTTAGACGTAAGCCGTCTAAACATTCTAGTTTTCTCATTTTTTTGTGAATTAATTTAATTATTAAAACTTGGCTTTCTATTAGAGTTTGTTATAAATGATACCCTCCAATCTTATTTTTCGCAACTTTTGTCAGTTGCGTATAGTTATCGATATAATATACCATTGTATATGATTGAAGGAGATATAAAAGTTCAAATGCGATTCTTCTGTTCTTGGGAGAGTTAAAAAGAGAGAGAACTTATTTGCCCCACTTATATTGCTTTTAACTGTTGGCTATATATATGAGAACAATTTTCCGATACACGAGAATTTCTTGCAGTCTGGCAATTTTATTTTCCGAAGTCCAGATAAAACGTAAATATTAAATAAACCGTTCTTTCTCTCTCTCTCTCTTCTCTTTCTCTTTCTTTCTTTATTACTTTTTGTATTTATATATTAATGACAACTTTGCAATAATTATATATATATATAAATCTCTCTCTCTCTCTCTCTCTCTCTCTCTCTCTCTCTCTCTCTCTCTCTCTCTCTCTGTAGGAGAAATAACAAGATTTTTCAACATTTTCGATAGAAGAGTAAAGATTTTATAAAAACCAATATGATTGGTATTTAAATATTTACGTCAATGCTATTACTTTTATAATGATCAAATATATATTTTGATTCGTTTTTTCTCTCGAATAATACTATGAACTAGATAACATTTTTAAAAAAATTGTAACAGAACGCTTCGGGATATATATATCCTATATTAATGGTTTTTCTAATTTAATTTATTTAATTGGGATATATGTTTTTTAATTAAAGTGGGGTGTAATTTGATATTTGATTTCGCGTAAAACCGCCTTGACGATCACGAAATCTTGATTCCACAGTTGGAAAATGATTGATTTCGATTTTATCGATGTTTTCACGCACAAAAACACACGCGCAGAACAGTCGAAATATCCGCGACTCATTCATCGCGGTTACAATTTGTGTTCAATGAACTAGTTCACTACTAAACTTGGCGAGTTTACGCAAAGTTCGCCGTGAACTTTGAGAGAGGAAGACCGGCCTCGGGGTGGCGCCGCCCTTCTTAACAACCTCGTCGTCGCTCGTCGGGAGCTTCTAATGCTTTATTTTAAAACCGAGTTGGTCCCTCTCCCACCTTCTTCTCGCACGGAGTGTTTGCTTTAAGTATTTACGCCTGATTTGAATTCGTCACGTGCAACCCGCCGCGTCAAAAGCAAACTTTTCCGGGCGTCCTATAGACGACGAGCGATGCGGAATCATGAAAGTACGCGCGGCATAACTTGGGCCGCATAAGTTTGGCCGCCAACTTTACCGCAAGAAAAAAAAGAAAAGAAAAAAAAACAAGGAACGCGAACGGGGAGTCCTATCGCGTTATGTCGCGCCGGTCATTTGCATTCAATGCACGATCCGTTACTCAATTTGACTAAAAAGTTCCGGAGCCGCTAAAACGACGTGAAATTATGCCAACCGGCCGGGTGTTCGCGTAACTTTGATGGTGCGAGCATAGGGCGAACTTTGAGCGTGCCGCGACAATATGGTTTCGTCAGAATCAATGTACTCGCCTGCGTTCAAAGCACCGCGAATTTACATTTTTCACTTTTTGCGTGTATATATATATATATATATATATTGATTTTAAACGACGTATTCATATCTCGTATCTTACAATGTACGTATATTATGATGTATATATACATTTTACAGTGTACGTGCTTCCTGCTTGAAACTCCGGGCACGTAACACTTCGGTGGTAACCAATATTCGCGTTACGTCAACCATTAAAATGAACATTTTTCAAATCTTTGCAGCAGGAGCGTATATACACACGTATCTCCTGAATACATTTTACTCGCGAGATTGATTCTCATGTTTTGCTCCTCATCTCTGATGCTCGTGAAAATGCGTATTGAAAAATTGCGAATTACGGTCGCGTGCGAAGAAGAAAACAAATGGCATAAAGATAGATTTCGTATTACTCATCGTCCCGTTGATCGAATTTGTTCTACGCAAACTTTGTGCTTTTTTTTTTTCTAGATGTGATAAAACTCATTGTTCCAGACGAGAAAACATTTAATCACTAACAATTTTCAATTATACAAATTGCAATACGATTTTACGAACGCTCTCTGCGGTAAAAACTGTTCGGTTTTATTTTTTCGTTAAATCGGCTGGATCGCTGATTTGTTTGATGAACGAGCAGTGGTAAAAGGCGGCGGATACGTGTGCGCTGCCTTCGAAACGATATCGCGAGCGTACAAAGGGCCCAAAGGGAACGCCCGGAACGAGCTTCGAATTATCGTCCCTCGAAGTTCCACCGGGGGCAGCAGGAACGATGTTGGTTGACTGCGGCTATGAATAAGCGCGAGTCGTTTAACAGCGTGACGTTTTTTCGGCTCGCGGCAAAACAGTTTCATTCATATGCATGACAGGATACGCGGTTCGGCGCGAAAGAGAGCGAGACGACGAAGGACAGAGATGGAACGAGAGATGGAAAGAGGAAGAGAAGATCTACGCGCGGAATCTCGATAGCGGCTAACGAGTCACGATTATTCCTTCTACTTCGCTTAACGAGCAGATGCAGATGCGAAAACCCTCGCGTTACCTCACCATTACTGAATATGCCTTGGCATTGATCGCTCGTTTACTTTGGTGTTTGCGAAAGCCTTATTCGATGAACCTTTTTTTTAAACGGAAGAATTTTCATTTCAGCCAAAGAGAGCTTGCGCGTATAAACACATTATTAATATATCAAATACACAATACGAGAGAAAGAGAGAGAGAGTTCTCGTTTGAAAAATGTACGTATACGTAATGGGAATGGGAATCGCGCGTATTCTTATGCGTCACATGTAGATGACGAGACAAGCTGAAGGAAGGATAGCAGTAGCTTGACTAGGTGATCCGAGAATTGAGTTCGAAATGGATGGAGCCAGAGAGGGAATGTGCTCTTGGTGGAACAAATAAAATTGTTCTCCTTCGGGATTACCGTGCTGCATGCATTCGCTGTGTGTTGTCGTCAGCTCTCTCGCGCGCGCGCGAGCTCTTTCGAGAGATCCTTTTCTCTCTCTTCACTTACGCCCTTTTTTCTCTTCTTCGTTCCTTTAGCTCGCGTTCAGTTCCGTTTCCTTTCCGGTTGATTTTAGTACAAGCGAATCATCGAGGTTGCTCGTGACCCAAAAGACAAAAGCCTCGTCGACAGTTATTCCTTCCGATGGTTACCAAGCCGCGAAGTGCTGTTTTTCATTCGGGCATCTCATTTGAGACGGGGACAACGACGCGAGAGAACGACGAGAGTACTCGGGAAATGGCGTCGTTCGATTTTATTTGATGTCGGTACGAAGAGATCGTTTTGCAGTCCGTATGTGTAAGACAATCGATTCTATTAGAATGTTCACCTGACACTATACAACGTACTAATCTCCTCGCGCAGATGCATGCACGACCGGTCTTTAATCGTATACAGGACTATGCGGTTTGCACGTCCTGCAATCGAGATCGATTTTCTATAAACAAGTTCAATTCAAATCACTATCTGTCACGAGGAAATCTCTATCTGTCGCAGAGGGTTTTTTCGAAAGATACAAAAAACTGCCGTGTTTAATTTATCGTCACGTCAAAAATTCTGTCGATCCGCCTTGAAAATATTTTATTGCGCGATCTTGCTTTAGCTCCGATATTTTTTATTTTTACACGTCATCGCACGCGTCTCTTGTATTTCTCGGATTTACACCGTTTTCCAAAAATCTGCGATATGTACATAGCGAGTATATCACAGTTTTTTTTCTTTTTCCATTTTTTTTTTTTTTTTTTTTTTTTTGACACATGAATATTCCGAGCTCTAAAGCCTGTAATGCGATTTGTAATGTATACAATAGCGCGGATAAAAGGTTCGCGATAAATCTCTAATGAAAAATTTCCAGAGGTATCATACTTTCTGAAATTAGAGTATTAGTCTTGGTTTCATTGGAGATGGGAATCTCCGAAGTCTGCGGCGCGGTCGGGTCGAGATTTATTTTACATCGCGAGTACACCGATCGCCCGAGTGAACTTTTGCGAAACATTCTTACTGCTACTACCATGGAGTGAGTTTTTCTCACGGACTTCTCCGAGTGGTAGAAGAGAGAACATACTACCGCTTTCCACTAACCGATGAGGTAACGCGGAAGACGCGGCGCAATTCGAAAAGTTGGAAACGATTCGCCGAGCAGCCTCTCGCCGTAACGTTCTCGGATTAGCATACTATTCGTTACTTGCGTATTCTACGAGTGATCGAGCGCTTCGAGGCACGAGGCATCTTCC